TGTGCGTGTGATAAGATTTACACCTTTTTGAGATGTCAGAAGGTTTAAGGAAGGAAATTTATCATGTTTTGTAAGAGATGGATGAACTTGAAAATAGTTTGGATAAGAGGGGGGTGGGGAGGGGGGGGGGGGTCATTAAAATTGTAGCATCCGAATTGTGAATTTTGAGTATTTACAATAGATCTAACCAGGAAAGATCTAATTCTTTGATAGGAATCGAACCAAATCCTCTTAAAATCAAGATGAAGATCTAAAATCAGGACAATCTCTTACATATAGATAAATTGACAACCCTAGCAGATTTGCATACATATAAGCCTCCAAAAAACAATAGCTTAACATTCCTTCAACTCTAATCGACCTCTAAAACACAATTTCAATGCCCAGAAAAATTTTATATCCACTCATTCATTACGTCTGGAAGTGACATTCTCTCTAATTCCCACAAAACGTCTAATTTCCACATTAAAATCAATTAAATAACCATCATCCACTGGGAAAGCGTGTAAATTTTTCCACAGTCATCTACATACACGCCGTTTTCATTTCTTTTTCTTTCATTTCATACATAATGAAAAAGGCAAACTTTAATATGTGCCATGCGAGCGTCATTGTCAAAGCGGTAGGTCATGTTCATTTTTATGAGGCACAAAAGTTATTATGAGTATAATTTATGGAGAAGATTGTTGATGTTCTGTTGGGTGTGCAAATTTGGAGGGAACAGACCAGACATTAGGATGTCTGTGGCTTTAAAGATGTAGAGTCTGCAATGAATTTAAACGAAATTTCCACAAAGCTAGCAAAAAATGTCAGAAAAGCTAGTAATTAGAATTAAATTGATGTACCCTGCAATTTCATACATGGAAGCAGCGGGCAGCAGGAAAGCCCTACAAATAACAAAAAAACTCTTTAATTTTAATTTCAAATAGCAATAAATTTCCTTCTTTTTTTGCATTAATGAACTCTAAATGTTCATTGCTTATTTTCTTCAAGGCATTCACACAAAGGCACAAAAAAAATTCTTACCTTCGAAATCATCGTTGCGCTTCAAATGAGTTATCATAGAGAGTGAGTATGCGAGTATTTATATATGTTCAACCGCAATATTATAATGTATTTTTCAATTTGAATGCATGAAAGTCGACCTGCAATTTTAAAATATTTATCATTTTATTATTCAGACATTTTTCAACATTTTCACAAAACTAATGGTATCTGGCAAGGCGAAGAAAAAAGTCAGAGGGAGAACTTTGTTTTTTATTTTTTGAAAAGCCGTTATTGGAGGCAAAAAAAAAGCTGAAAAAGAGTTTCTCATAAACTACACATGTATTTAGTATACACTTCCTATAATGTGCATGTTTTACTACAATTCATTCACATGACCTTATTTGCATAATTAAATGCTGCCAAATCAGCGTACTTTGTTGATGTTGTTGTTGGCGGTGTTGTGCTGGAAAAAAATACAATTTTATATTTGCCCAAATCAAGTTCTTGTTGAGCTTTAACGATTTTCGTAGTCATTATGATGAGGCAGTTTGGTCGGATACTCTTTTTTTTGTGAATTTTTTTTTCGTGCAGTTTTCCTAAAAGATGTTTATGATTCTATTTTGTCAGCCTATCTATCTGACTAGCCTTTGTAGCTAAACATAGGAATTTGGTTTTAATATCAATGATTTTCCTGAAAATTGCAATATTTATCATTAATACTCTTGTGAAACTCTTAAGGGGCCGTTCACTTATTACGTTACTCAAAAAAACGATTTTTTTCACCCCCCCCCCCTCCCTCCCTCCTTGTTACAATATGTTACAACTCACAACCCCCCCCCCCCCCTGAACGATCATAATTTATTTTATTCTGATAATTTTTTATAGGTAGTTATTAAGAACATTTAAATTTTAAAAAAATGTATTTGGTGTGAATTTGTAAACAAATTTTTTTCGTGAATTTTTTTTAAAAGACAGACGACAGTTAGAACGTTACATACTTCTTGACACTCCCCCCCCCCCCCCCTGTGTTACATTTTGTTACAATTTTTCAACCCACCCCCCCCCCCCCCCCTCCCCCCTAAAATGCGAACGACCCTAATTTGATATTCTTACATATCCATTAAACTTCTGAAAGTAAGAACTACATTATCGATGTACTTAAGGATTGAAATAGTCAATAAATCTAGTTAATTACTTTCAGTGAAGAAGATTTCAATTTCAATTGTTCAAAAAAGGTAAAGATTAAAAAAGGGAACTGCAACTATGTTCGTTAAGTATAATGAATAATTTTTGAATTTTTGAAAACCGATAAAATCGAAAATTTATTGCAACTCAAATAAATTAAGATTAAAACAGCTTAAACGACTACAAAATTGATAATTACAAATTTAAATTAGATGTAGATGCGTCACATCTAGTCATGTTATAATCACATGTACTAGTCTATTTTGGCATTGCATTTTTTTTATGAAAAAAAGTTTCCCCATGCCACTTATCTGCACTCTTTTTTATTATTTTTATGGAAGAATTTTTTTTTTATTCCAATTTGCATAAAAAATGACCCGACCGCGCACATTTGAATGCATTTCTTTTTTTTATATATATTCAACTTCCTAGCACCGCCATGGGGACTGTTGTATATATAGTCATTGTAAATTTATTGCCGCTTATAATTTTCCACTCGAAAATTCCAAGCTGCACAAGATTTATTCTTCCTGGAAATTAAGTTGGAAAATATAAATTTGGCTTAAAGGAATCACATTTACCTTTTTTCATATAATTCAACTCTCTTCTCTTACCAGCAAAAAAAAAAGAATTGTACTATTGATTAAAACTATTTGATAAGAAGCGCAACGGAGAGCAGAAAAAAATAAATGCTTTACAATTCAAGTGCATATCGTAGTCATAGTCGACACATTCTCGTATAGTTTGTGAGAAACATTGTATGTGAAATAAGAGGGATGTGGAAAGGTAATTTTCAATTATTTATTATTTAATGCAATAATAATTATGAGATTTTCCGGATTTTCATTTTAGCGTGTTAGACTTTTTGCATTGTGGATGTATGAAAAAGCAGCTTGGCTTGAATTATTGTTTGTAATGTGTTGATATTTTTTAATTTATTTGCTTTTCGTTGCTCATGTTTATTAAGTCTTGGTTTATTTATGTTTTTAAATGGGGATTTCTTTAATGCGTTAAACTTAAGTTATGGCTTGATTTAAATAGTTTTGATATTCTTTAATTTTTTGCTATTTTCAATCGGATGGAAAGGTTTGTAATTTATCGAGCATAAGGATAGAGCTCGGACTTTTGGAGAAATTTGATTTCAATTTTCAAACTTGAATTATTTTGTTTTTAAATCTATGAAAATTCAGATGCAGTTTATCTGACTAGCTTGCAATCAGTTTATGAGCAGAATTCACTCTACTTGAACTATTCTTGATGTACTAAACATCATACAACACACAATTACTAGAGTAAGATACAGGAACAAACATTATTGAATTTACGGCTATGAAAAACATTTTTAAAATGAACATTCTGTCCATACTTCATTTAAACTTCTGATAGATTATGTCTAAAATCTTAAAAAATAATAAAGTCAAGAAGTTCGAATCTCATCTGAGACAAAGCTACCCTGTTAAGATTTGATTATTCTGAGAGTTCAAAACCTAAAATGAGCAAACTAGGTTCTGCATTCAATACATAGCAAGTTACTATATTAATCACAAAGAGGACATTAAAGTTAATTCAACGCATAAACTCAGTAAATTAAATCCAAAGCGCCCACACCCTACTCTCTCTAATTAGAAATTAATGCCACAAAATTAGTCAACATTTAGGAATATCAGTCAAGGATTAAAATCAAATATTCATGACAATACGAAAACAATCATTAACTCTCTCGCAAACTCCTGATAACATCTCATACTTCCCTTCCATATTATTATCATCATAACTACAAAATTGTATGTCTGCATCATTATATTCATTTACTAGAATTTATTCAAATTATTACTTCCACTTGTCAGATTTAAAGCGATGTCAATCACAAATCTGCACAAAAATGAAAAAAAAAAATCCGTTGCCAGATTTTTGGATAAAATCCTTCAAAGTCACATTTTAAGCATGACTCATATTGATATTGCATGCAATTGAAGCTTTTATTTGCGCAAAATCTTCTTCTTTCCCCCCTTATTAAATGAACGAAAAAATAAAACTTTACTTATTCGCATGCAGACTCTTGTAACGCTAGCATCAGCAGAAAATGGAAATACACGTATAGAGATGTGAATGAACAATCATGTGGAAAATCACCATTTTGCAATTTCTTATCCTCACCGAAAAAAAAAAAACAGATTTCTTTTTTTCTGTTGTACTTTTTTGTTTGCAAGCAGGCAGCAGAAGTAAAGAAATTTAAAGAAGAAGTGAGGAAAAAATGCATAATTAAATGAAATACATTTTTCTTGGAAATGTTGAGTCTCTCTCTCACAACATGCACTTTCATATCAGCAAATAAGACATCGATGAAGTGAAGAAGAATGCTGAGAAGAATTAAAGAGGCGATGTAATGCGATGCACATCCACAAATACAAAAGTTGACTCACAAAGACATTGGTAATGTTTAATGTTGCTACGCATAATGTTTGATTATGCTGAATGTTTTCATGTTAGACTTTTATGTTGAATGTTTTCATACGCACCGATGCTCCGCCTCCTTTTCATACTCATTTGTTGTTGTTGTTGCACAACACTACAAAAATTATCGATCGGTTGGTTGGAAAATAGTCTTAAACATGTTGTTATGCCCACACATTCTATAGTAATGTGTGACTTCTCTCTTCTCTGTATACATGTGTGCATGTGTATTGCCTTTATTTTTATATGAGGTTTGGAATACGTATACGAATGAAAAAGAAGCCGAACAGCTTGAAATTGAAAAAAATATTTTTTTTCTCTTCACAAATGTGGCTTGTACCTGACTGAATATTATATTTTTTTCTCCCTACACATTTCAGTTCGTTTCAGAATATTCAACTGCTCTGCTGCTGGTCGCGCGCTCTCGTCACGTCACGTAGAATAATTTTTTTCATTTTTTACTAGCGACAAGGAACTGAATTAAAATTTTTATTGAGAATTGTGAAAATTTTTTGTGTTGTTTTTCGGTTCTTTTTTCACACAGTTAAAAAATAAAAATAAAACAATTTTGCGGACATAAATTCGAGGACTGAAAAAAATTAAATAAATAAATGACAAAGGAATCAAGTTTTGTATGATAAAAAGGAATAATCATATGATATTAATTTTTGTATACATTTGTGATTAGGTCAATAGAATTGATATTGACAGATACAGTGAAATAAAACAGTGAGGAATAATTAAGGATTATTGACAAGACAAAAACTGTGAAAATTCAGTGAAAAACTATCCAAAAAAAAAACAGTGAAAATAAATAATAAAAAAGAAAATTAGTGTTCAATTGTTATCAGCAACATTACAAGAGATGTTGAATAAGAAAATATGCATGATAACTTTGAGGTATTGCTTTATTATTATTCATATTATTCTCATTTCTTACACTCGACGTACCAAAAAAAAAATGAAAAATGAAGAAGCAAAATGATGAACTACTAAAGATATGAAAAATTTGTGTACATTTTGCCTTTTACTTTTCGCTCACTCACTCACTCACTCCTAGCCTATCATGATCATAGATCAAGTATAGAGGAAAAATTATGATGCTTGCGGAACACATACATATTTTCTATGTTATCTATCATCGTGATAATTTATAGTTCATAATTTTATTTTTGGCAACGAAAAAAAAATGAAAATGCGAATTTGAATGTGTTATGTTGAATTATATTTTTCATGTCTATGTGCGCACTAGAAATTGTTATTAAAGTTGCTTTATGGAAAAAAAATATTTAGACTGGAAATTCAATTTATTTGGGAGTTTAAAAAATGTTTAAAACAAAATGAAATAATATAATTTCTGTAGAATTATTAAGGATTTGAACCTTTTTACCGGTTTCAACATTTATTAAATGACAATTTTCAATTTAAATTATTTGAATTTTAGTTGATTTTAAGCGGCATAAATCTTACACAACTTAACTTAACATTTTAAACATAAAATAAATCAATTTTTTATTAAATTTTCAAATTAAAAGTCAAAAATTACTTTCAAAAATAATTATTAAATTAAATAAGATTCAAAGTTAAAAAAACCTTATAACTTTGAATTTTTTCAAATTCTTCAAATTCTTTAAACTAGCTAAAATTTCAAGTTTTAAAAAAATTCCCGCTCAAAAAATTCCAAACCTTAAAAAAAATTTATTTGAGGAAGCGCTGACATTTTGATGCTTTATAAAAATTGAAATCCTTTCGAATATAAAAATGTTAATTTTAATTTATGTCCGTTCTTAAGATTTCACGAATTCTTTCCCGTCAAAATCAGTGAGTTGTTCTTAATTCCGTTCCAGACATGGCAAATAAAAACTTTTTACGATCAAATATATTTTAAATTCAGTTTATAAGAAAAAAAATGCCGAAAAATATTTAAAAGTGATTAAAATTTTATAAAGTTAAGTGTAGAAATAAATGAATTAAATTAGAACGACTGTCGAGGATCGAATTTTATGAATTTTAAAATTTTTGTCGGCTAGTTTACAATTTAAAAAAAAAATCTAGCTTGTATAACTTTATTTCAAACTCATTACTCACTCGAAAATTTTCCAATGAGCCATTTTTGTGGTATATTGACATTGATTACCCTGCCATGCATCAATTTAGTCTTCAAACGCGATAAACAACGCACTTAAAAATGTCAGACTTCCAAAAATATCATCACACGACGATGAAATGTTCCAAACGCCAATCAATTTGATTATTGTCCATTATCACAAGCAATTAATGAAGAATATTTCAAAAGGTAATAAAAAATAATTTTTTTTTTGCGTATCAAAAGGAAAGTGTATTTCATTGTCGAAGAGCTTGTTATTAGAGATAAGATTGAATAACATGCTGATAAAATCCAAAAAGTGTTTTTTTAGACTTATTTATACGTGTGATAAGAATAAAGTTAAAAATCAATCAATCAATTAGTGAGTATCATGTGGCAAATAGTTTTCAAAAAGTATCAGCCATGAACCTTGCTATTTACCGCTACTGCACATATGCTTTATTGTAAATACGAAAAAAAATAATAATTTTTATGCAATTTTTTTCAAGGTCCTCATAAGCACGAAGTGCACGTTCAATGATTTAATAATTTTGTGCTGTATTTCATTGTAATTGATTATCAATAACTAGCTTCTAATTTTTATGTATTTTTTGAACACAAGGAAGTTATTTTAAGAGAACAAAAATGCAAAATTTATTGATCATGAGCGAGATGAAAGTTGGAAGAGAAGAGAAAAATATATTTAAAAAAAAAATTCTGATAAATTTCCTTGTGCGCAAGTGTTGAGTTTTTTATAGTGTTCACCTTTTGTTTGAATTTATATATATGGAATGAATATGTCAGCAAATGGCGATTCCGACGGTGTTTTGTTTATTAAGAATGGGAATGAGTGAAGAGAATATGGGAAAGAAAAAAAAACTTTTTTTTAACGCGAACGTCGAATATAATTTATGATCATGGTGTTTAAAAACTGATATTGAATATTATGCAAATTTTTTTTTATTTTATTTTCGTTTCATAATTTTCTTCATCTTTGTGAGAATTTTGCTTCTTCTGTTACTGACTCGAAAAACAAGCAAATTGATAATTTATTTTAATAATTTTTTTTCTCTCGGAGGTTTTATCTTCTATGTTTAATGTTTTGTTGGTTTTAGAAATTTTCAATCTTAAAGTAGCTTCTTATTTTTGTGATAATCTTGTTGATTTTTTGACGATATTGATGATTTGAGGATCTTGAATTTCTGAATAATCATTGCACACGCTTAAAAGTTATGAAAATTCACTAATTATTATTAATTTGATAATAACTTAAATTAATAACTTGAAAGACATTTTTAAGTTTTAATGGTTTTAAGACAAATTCGAATTTTAATTGTCCGTAAATATTCAATCTTTTAAAATGAAATTAAAAATGCCAAATCAAATATTTGATTTAAAGAAACAAAAAAACATAATAATAACATAACCTTAAACTATTAAACCACGAATTTCCACAGATCTACAAAAAATAATTCACAAACCAACAAAAAACAACCTCAAATCCTGATGCAAAATCGTCCTCGTTTCCAAAATGTTTGAGTTTCAGACAAATTGAGTTAATAACACTTCAAAATGTGTTTATTTATCTTCCTAGATACACAAAATAATAATTTTTTTTGTAGTTCATAAACTTGAGTTCAAGAGCATTAATCGTCAATGAGTCGTCTTCTCAAAATATTATTCTTACCTTCTACCTGTCGTCCTTCCAATAAATAAATAAATAAATAGGAATTTATGTTTGTTGTGGGCAGCCTGGCTCCTATTTCTGTATTCTGTTGCAATTCTTCTCTCGACAAATAGACGAAGAATTCTTTCATTGTGCAGCTATTGTTACTCAATTAAAAATATTTCAACAATATTTTTTGGTTTTTGCTCATTTTTTGAGGCATAAAAGAAACTGGATCTGCTTGCAGAACTGAACACAAAACACGAAATTCTCTCGCCTTTAAAAATATTTTGAAATATTTCTGATTTTTTTTCACTTCTCTTGTTACAAGGCAGAAAGTGGAGGGCCTATGAGCAACATAAATACGAAATTGTAGATAAATGATGCAAAAGAATCAATAAATCATAAGACACAACATACAATGACTCGATGGGGAGTTTACTTTTTATGTTTTCAATTACTATTATTTCACACTAAAAAGATCAGACTGATCATTGTTAGTAAAATATATGGCAATTCAATACTATTATTTTAGTATTTTTATTTTTTTTGGATGGAAGAAAGAAAGGCGAAGTGAGAAAATGTCTTGAGAAACTTAACGATGCTTCTTAGGTCAAACGCGCACTTTTTTATTAGATTCAATGTTTTTTGAGGTTAAAAATTTGAAAATGCTGAATTCAGTTCTTTTTTCCTAAGTTAAATTAAGCAATATTCACCTAATATTACATGTTTCAACTTTAAGCAATATTCATCTAATTAATTCAGCTAAATTCAGCACTATTCAGCAACGCTGAATTCAGCAAAAAATCTCAAAAATCGCTCTCAAAATCACAAAGCAGTTCAAACAACTTCGAAAAAATAATCAAAACAACTTCCTTTAAATCTGTTCAATCTGTTCAATCTCATTACACCACCTTCTTACAAGCAAGTCAAACCCCCAAAATGCTCATCACATCATCTCATCTCATCGACAGAAAGAAATCACGCGTCTTAAAAACAATTTTCAAGGGAATTAGTTGAAAGCGCGCGCGTTAGATTTAAAAGAGCTAGAAAATTGTTGTTATTATTGTTATTTCAACATTTTTTATCATTCATTTATTTTCTATTACCGATGCCTTTTCTTACCTTCTAATACGTGAAGTGCGCTCATAAACAAAACTAAAAAGCTGTTAACAATATAATGTTTTTAATAATATAAATATTCAATAGGAAAGATAGCGAGAGAAATTTTTCTTCTATTTTGTGTGTGCACATTTGAGTCAGCAGCAAGCTGTGAATTTCAATAATTCCTCATTCGCCTATTATTAGAGACTTGAGACGCGAGAAAGAAGAAAGAAAATCGTAGCTTAATGAATAATGCTCAATTATTGTTAGAAGGAAAGGCTCATTACGTCAACACACTCGGTGCTATGCTCAATATAAATAGTTAAAGTAAAAGTCATAAATCTTTTTTGCCAACAAAGTGATACGCAAAGGAAAATAGTTTTTTTCAATTAACGTTTGAAATTTCTTTGAGAAATTAAAATTAATGCGAGAAAAATTTCTTTGATTGAATTTTTTTTTTATTGAATAAATTTTGATATTATTGAATTTCGTATCTGCTGGACATCGTGTGAATATTTTCTAATCGATTTCAATAGAATTAATTTATTACAAAATTTACAATGTTGGAATTTGGATTTTTCACCTAAGCTGAATTCAGCAGTTTTCAGCTGAGCTGAATCCTAACCTAAATTCGAACTCTCATAATCAAATCAACTAGATATTTTGCACAACTTAATAACTGCCATTGCCCAAGCCCCATAAAAAATCCCCTCAAGCTTTTCAATAAACAAAACAAAATCTAAAATTATTAATGCTACAAGAATAATGTTAAAAGAACCTTGTTGAGCTTTTAGGCATGCTTCATTGATGCATAAGATAAAAACTTCTTCAATAATTCTATAACGTCATTGACTACATTTAAGTTTGCAAAATAGCGTGTGAAATAAGAAAAAAAATAAATTTTCTAATAACAAATTTGTTCACACTCAAAGAGCTTTTACAAAAATATTATTCGCATCAATCGTGAGCGCTGTGTGATTGAAATGGATGAATAATGTTTTTGGCTTCTTGAATATCTAACGGGGTTTTTAAATTTGAATTTGTAAAATGAAAGGAACGTTTTATTTCATTTCCATGTTGTGGGCCTGGATGAGCTGTGGCGAATGTTTAGATATTAATAAAGATATACAATAAATTTACAGCTACGTATAATTCAGTTAAGATTTCAAAACATTTGATGTAAAAGTCCGTTACAATTCAAAAAAGTCAAAAGTGAAGTTAGTAATGACAAAATTTTCAAAAAGTAAATGTCCGTTCAATATTTAAATTCAATTCAAATCATCATTCAAACTACTTTAAAGAAAATGAAATCTCATTTAAGAAACAAAACATTCTCAAATCTCTTACAATGTCCAAAAAAAGCAAGAAGTCAGAAATCTCACTCTTAAGCATATTGATAAATAATGGTTTTTATCGCACTTCTTTTTTTGGGATGAAGAAATAAGAGAAAAAAATAATATTCAATCACGCTGTCTATCATCAACAACTTTTTTTTTGAATGAGCTGTAATAATTCATCGTTGTGCGGTCTTTTCTGTCGTACATTTCTTTATCTTCTTGTGCTTGTTACATTCCAATACATTCCGATAAATGTGTGTAGTGTTTGAAACCAATTTAAGTCATTTGAAGACTTAAAAAAAATAAGCGAGAGAAGATTTATTATCTTTGAGTTTGAAAAGGCATCATTGGAAATCAATCAATCTCGGGTCTTAGTTATGCATTACACTGTGCAAAATATGTTTAAAAGTTATTTCTTCTCGTTTACTGCTGTTACGTCTTTTAGACAATATAACAAGATTTAAAGCAGCAATTAAATGTGTCAAAAATTCATCATTCATATTCTTTATGATCAGTTAATTGAATTAAATTAAGTCAATAGTTCTACTGTTTATGATCATCATGTGCTTTGGCTGATAATGATGATTGGTTTAATTTTATGATTATTTAAACATGAAAATCACAGATAACATAAGTGAATAAGTCTAAATTATATTATAATATCCAGTATCGTTACCCCCTTTTTTTCCACTGTGTACATTCGAAGCATTTTAAACTGTCACCCATAAAAAAATCTAGAAATAACACCAAATAATCAAACAATCAAGTATATGATAAGATAAAAATACACAATTTCCCATCTAAAATTTTTTTAACTGTTTCATTTTCGATAATTAATAAGGAAAAAAAATATATTATTGCTCGTATTGCTGATTATACAACCTCGATAACATGAAAAATAACTTTTTTTTTGTCGTTGATAAGAATGAACTGTTTTTTATTTGAAAGATTTATACTGTCTGATGATCAGTTAGCAAATAGTCATCAGATCGAGCACGCTCGGTTGGTAATCTTGACAGAAATTTTAATTCCTTTTTTTTTGTTGGTGTACTTTTGAGTGATTGGTTGGATTATAGGAGACTTTTTGGGGATCTGATTTATTTTTGGAGGGAATAGCTGGTTTTTTGGTGTTGTGGGATTCAAACAAAAGCTAAGATTTTATAAAACTTAAATGTGTGATTTTGTGAAAATTAATTTGTAATTGAAAAAAAAAAGTTGAAAATTTAAGTAAATATAAGGTTCGAAACCTACAAAGTTTAAAATGATAATTATCGGATCTTTATTACTTCAGTTTTTTTTTGAAATAAATTTAATTTTTCAATTTTTTTCCATCTCATTCCAGAATTGCCAACAAAATTTTTCATCATTAATTTTGATTTCACCACAAAACGCACAACAAACGAAGAAAATAATTTTTTGTGAATTGATAAAATAGAGAAGCACAAGACATATCGTAAATTAATTTTAATAATACACACAGACAAATAAATAAAAAGAGAGCAAGATATTAATTTAGTGACCAGAAAAGTGTTACGATTTTAATAAACTTGAAAAATAAAAAAAGTAAAAAAAAATATTAATAAAACCGTGGAAAATAGGATAAATGCGCGAGAATAAATTTAACATTATGAAAGTTTTCTTTGTGTGTACGCGTATATCATCATAGGAATTATAAAATTTGTATCACAAGAATATAAACTTAGTAGACATTTAATTTGAAATTAAGACAAACGAAAAAAAAAAAAATTGTTCAGTGAAAAAGAAAAAGTCATTAAAAATGGATATGACATCAACAGCTGAGGCGAGTCGCTGGTACGGTAATCAAAGATTGCCAGGCTCACCAAACACAGCATTAGCTCACCAGAATGCAGGCGCTTCAGCAGGAGGTAGCGTTGATGCATCAGAAATGAGTGCTTATTATGCATTAGAAAACAGCAATGCACATCGGAGATATTATTCTGCAGCTGCCGGCTACAGTCCACACAGTAAGTTGAAGTCTTGATTTCATTACATTATAATATTCATAAGCACATTGCTTACAGGGTGTATAATTTTGATTAGAAACAAATTGAGAATATTGGCACAGGCCACAATTCTCGAACCTCTTTTCGAATATAATTATTATCTTTAAGATTTTTTTTTTCAAATTTAAGTAAAAGCATTGCCTACACGCCTCAATCCATTAACAAAATAATAGTAATAATATAGCCAACTTTTTTCATTCTCTTTCCCTTCCTTTTCATCCCAGCGGATTTCTTCTCTTCACAATAAATAGCAATAAATTTCTATTAGTGGGAATAAATTGTATCTTAATTCTAGTTCCACATACCTTTATACTATTATACTTTCAATTCCTTTAATGCCCTTAAAAAAAATTGTAGAGGACAACCGTAACAGAATGCTTACATGTAGCATGTTCTTGTAACAAAATTGCAAACTCATTGTAAATAAAATGCATGTTGAATGAATGAGACGAGATGGAATGGAAAATGTTGGAGATTTTGAGGATTTTGGGAAGGGAAAAAAATTGTTAAAAACTGATATTTTTGATAAAAAATAAGACTTAACTAGTGATAGAACATAACAGTATGAAACGTTGTTTAGAAATTTGAGATTCGAACTTTAAATATTTTTGAATTTTTATAGTTTTTCAATTTTAACTGTAATTTAGATTTTAACAAAAACACAAGACTTTTTACCAAATTCTTTTAAAGTTTATAACCACTCTTTTTCCGTCGTTAACCCTCAAGTCCAGTAAAAGAAAAATTATCAAAAAAACTGTCTTTAATGACGCTAAAGATTAACATAAATTTATTGTGGAATATTTTTTTTCTCTCATTGCTTTCCCTTTTAACCTCCACACTCGATTAAGGCTTTAGGAGGTTAAAAAAGAAATAGAATATGCATAATACACATCAAAATGAGAGTGTGAGAGCTGACTTTTAATGACATTTTAATGATTTGTGTATGTCTCTAATTTTCCTCAATTCTCAAAAAGTCCACCAATGAATGAAAATGAAAACCACGAAATTAGAAATGAAGTTCTCCGTCCATATGACAATAAAGTGACTATTTTTAATGGAGGACCAAACACACAAAAAAAAAATTTCAATATTATTTTCACATTAAATTATTAAGTACAATACATAAAGTAATTATTATGATATTACTATTATTTCATGCGAATCTAGATTAACTTCAGAATGAGACCCACCAAAAGTGTACGCACTTATTTTTGAAAACGATATTAATACGATTTTAGACTTTCGTAAGTCCATCATGTGATTATCTGTGGCACCAAACGTATAAATTGCTTATCGATATTTTCACTGATTAAGGAACATTTATTTAATATAAATTGATTTATGGTACCTGTTTCACTCAATTACACCTCAAGTTGCTTAAAAAAGTTGTTAATTTTTATTGCACCTATATGTCGATATAAATTTTTTATTTTAAAGAAATCGTTATCGCTCAACATTGGGCTGATAAAGTTGTACATGATACATCTATTATAGGCAATATTCGTAGTTATTGTTATATTTTATTTCGACGCTATCGGTTGCCAGCTCAGCAATAAAATGATTTTCGTTGATGTTGCGTAATTATTGACTTTGGATGAGCTGGAGAAGCTTAATTTTTGGATGAGACTTTTGTTTATTGGAGTTTTGATGAGGACACGAAGTTCCTTTTGCCATTTTACGCAATATAAAAAAATGATTATTATGAAAATTTATGAAATTTAAGAGAAGTCAGGAGTTCGAATCTCAAGTTATCAAAAAATTTTGAATTGTAAGAAATTTCGTTTGTTTTTGTAAATTCAACACTTTAACTTTTTGGTTAAAAATTAAGACAAACCAAATCCAAAACCAATAAAACAAGAAAAAGATTATTTTGTGATCAAATCATCAGATCAACATCATCAAAAAGGAATTAAGATGCTTCTTTTCAAATTCCTTTTATGTTATATTATTTATTTTTATACCTAAATGAAGAAATTTATCTGAAAAGAGATTAATTTATGCAACAGCAGAGATAAAAAGGCATACACAAAAAAGAAGAAGAAGAACTTCATTCAAAACACATAAAATGATCTTCTTTTGAATTACTTTTATATCAGAAAAGTTCATAAAATTAATACTAAACTCTCGTCACTCGCTAGCTCGCTCCTATTTCCATCCAAAAACAACACACACATAAATGTATATAAAGTGATAAAACATTTTTACGATCCATCATTTAATTATAGTAAAACAACCAAACAAGATTGAATGAAATTAAATGGGCAAGTATAGGAGAAATAGTCAGATATATGATTTGTTTATCTCACAACAATAAAATTGAGGCTCTAAATGTGATATAAATAAGAGATCACAATTCATTTATCTATCGTGATGGACCATAAAATTATATTTTTTTTCTTGCTCCGCTTTTTTATAGATTTTTCGTCAAGAAAGTTTGGTTTGAGAATTTTGGTAGACTTTTGGAGAAGTTCGGGATGAAAAATTCAAAAAAAAAAGTGAAATTCAAATAAGATATATAAATTCTTCTAGTAATAGTTTGAGATTCGAACTTATGCCTTTAACAATTTTTTATTAAGTCTCAACTTCCAACTTTGTTTAAATCTTACAAAAGTTCAATAACTATTCTCAAAAATTAATCCAACAAACCACTTCAAAAAAATGTCAATCTATCCAAATTCTCAAGAACTTATCTCCTTCTTATTCCTTACTACCAAAAAAATAAGAATAGATTAAGCACTTGACCTCTTATCGCAAGAAGAAAAGAAGCAAATCGGATTTTTATCCCTTAAAAAATTTAGAACAATGCTTCCATCCTCTTGAAGACGAATAGTTAAGTAAAAATCTCTTACTCTTTATCCTTTTGTGTTCGCTTGGCGCACAGACAATTTGTAGAAGAAAAGGATTAGGGGCGGGCGATTGACGATAATCCACAAAAACACCACTTGAAAATTTTTCTTTCTATTTGCATTTTACCTACGCAAACTTTTTTTTTCAAGTCTTGTGTCCTTCGTACATGTACATGCACATGAAAAAATTATGAGCCTGATGCTCTTTTGGGTTTTTATGATAGTCATTAGTCATAAAAGTGATAAACTGTCTCAAAAAAAATTTCATTCTTTTGTCTTTTTTTTGCGTCTCTCTCATTCTCCGACCATAATTCGCTCTGTCTGCCTCTATTAATGAGTCAAATGCCTAGCACTTAAATGCCGTATATGTACATATACATATTCATTGTGTATATAAGGAACAATTACTCAATATATATAATTTTTATGACAACTAGAGTGGAGTTGAGTAGAAGCTGCAATTGCAATAAATTAAATTTGTGTGTGTCTCGTTATGCCATTAAAGAAGTCATGTCTGTTCTTCTCGAGAAATTCTTACGATGATGACTACAATGAAAATGGCTAATTATACGGTAAAATATTTTCAATAGTGCACAAATCAGGACACAAAACAATTGTTGAGTATATTGGACATTGAAGAATTGAACATGCTGAGCTTAATTCAACTATAAAATGTTGATTACATGCATAATGATTTTATTTTTCTCTTCTGCTTTCAAAACATTAATTCTGCTTTTTTTTTGTGTTGCCCTTTTGTTATGCTGTGTTGCTTCTTTTAATGAAATTTACATACATACAAAAGGAGTGAGTGAGAGAGAAATGTATACACATAATGGATATATAGATATATATACAAATGGAAAAGACAGATCTCTTTTGCCTGTTTTACAAAATAAAAAAAGAACGTAAAAAAATATAAAATGGTAGATATTACCTTTTGTTATAACTGCTCGCTGGCTGCTTTTTATTTTCATTATTTTGCATATATATATTTACTACAATTATCCTCCCATACATGGAGAAAAATGGAAAGAATAGGAGAATTATAACAAAATTGTGAATGCAAATTTAAATTATTTTTTTGGGGAGAAATTCTCAGTTTTATTGTTTGTTTGGCTTCAAAGTGGAATCAAGTTGACGAGTTTGAATTGCATCTGGTTGGTTAAAATGTTTAAAAAAAACCGTTAAAAATTTGAATTCACTTAAAAACCGTTATTTTTGAATATTTGAAATGATTAAAAGATGCAAAAAAATGACGCGAAATTTAAAAACCCAAGAAGCCGTTGAAAAAAATTAAAATTCCATCACAAACAGAAAACTTTCCATTAATGCCGCAAATTAAGTCCCAATTAAATAGAATTTAAAATCATGTGTAAAACTATGCATAATAGAAATTAATTTCAAAACTCTTTGATAAGCAACACGAGCTGAATGTTACAAGTTCTCCTCCTGTTTTAACAAAAAAAAAAGCATGCAACAAATCCACAAACAAGTCATTCCAATTGTAAAAAAAAAGAACTTTATCCAAACATGATGTGTTGATAATGAATCAGAGAGAATTCAGCTATAGAAAAGTAAGTTAGTCGACAGCTCTATACATACATGCAATGCGAAATGCGTGTTACTGCAATTGTGAAACAAAACGATCAGCAATTATTTCTCATTATTTTATGTTTTGAAAACTAATATAAAAACTACACTTTGTGGTGATAGCTCATACAATATTCAGGAATATACATCGGAACCTACAGGTTGTTCAATTTTTTTCCATGTTTTTTTAATGGTCGAAAAAAAATTATTGTATATCATTGGAATCCATTTACACACCAACGAGCACAATCAGTAACACGAAATAGAACTATCTGTATGTCTCACATGTTATGACATGACTCTTTCTCTCTTTCCAACTTTCGTTCATGCGAAGCACACCAAAAAACTGATTAATAATTCATTCTCATAAATAAATTAAAGACCAAGAGACATCAATTTTTATTCCTTCTTTTTCTTTCCACTCCACGTAGCCAACTATTGACTGTGTGTCACTGCTTACTGGGGTGTCACTATTCGTTCAGGCTACATAATTTGTTTAATTGAATATAATATTCAATAATATCG